ATAGATATAGATATAGATATAGATATAGATATAGATATAGATATAGATATAGATATAGATATAGATATAGATATAGATATAGATATAGATATAGATATAGATATAGATATAGATATAGATATAGATATAGATATAGATATAGATATAGATATAGATATAGATATAGATATAGATATAGATATAGATATAGATATAGATATAGATATAGATATAGATATAGATATAGATATAGATATAGATATAGATATAGATATAGATATAGATATAGATATAGATATAGATATAGATATATAAATATATATATATATATATATATATATATATATATATATATATATATATATATATATATATATATATATATCACCAAGTTACAGTCGACACTTATAACGTTGCTGAATTAGGTCTAGAACTCCCAAAAGGCCAAGTAAACTTATCAGGGCAACCAAAATCTGGCATGAACTGGCCGAAACGTCCCTCGGGTCATTTGGAAGAATTGACCATTAGTCGGGGTTACTGGGTTGATTGTTAGGTCATCAATTTCCCCCTGAGTTTTTTTTAATGGAAGCCTCGCTTTTGTGTGGTCGGGTTTGGATGTTAGTTAAAATATTTTTATCTTAATACTCTTCAATGCGATATCCTTAAGCCAATCACGACATGTAGGCCCAACTTTCGTTGTCCTGCACTTGTCAGGGGGAGGGGGGATTGGGGGGGGGGGGGGGGTTCTGTGACAGCCTAATGATGTAAGTCCTATCTGATAGTGTCACAACCAGTTCGGTCTCTACCAGCTACTAGTGTTGTCACATTGAGGCAGGTCGCTGTAGGGCGTTGAAAAAATAACTATCAAGGAATTCGTCTATGGAAATTTTATACTTTATCCTTAAAAAAAATTGTGAGCCCATTTATTTTTACTTCCTCAACTACCATGACTTAGATTCCAGTACTTGTTGTAAAAACTAGAATTTTTTTACCAGTGAACCAGTTCACACATGTACGTCTATGTTGTAATCGCCGCTATATTTAACTATCCTTGGGACGTGAATAGTAATTTTAGTAATTTTACAAATGACAATCTGAGTCAGGGAAAAAAATATTCAGGGTTTTAGATTCAAGAATTGTAATGTCCATCTGCGTAAGGTCCATCTATGTAACATCCATGTGTGTAATGTCCATGTGTATAATGTCCATGTGTATAATGTCCATCTATGTAATGTATATCTATGTAATGACCATCTGTGTAATGTCAAGCTGTGTAATGTCCACGTGTGTAATCAATTCATCACGAACGTACGACCTACCAGTGTCTCTCAAATAAGTTTCTAACGTCGCAAAAACATGACCAACTTTTTCACGCTGTACCATGGTATAACTAATTAATTACCAATTTGCTAATTAATCAATCCAGATATGAAAATAAATTAGCAGCACGTACCAGAGATGACAGGCATAAACCTGGTTGTATCTTTCTTTGTGGTCTCGGCCACGGTAAAAAATGATTGCGAACAGGGAGATAACCCAATCAATGATTTAATTAAAAGACAACAGCCAGCGTTGTACTGGCTTTAGTCCAGGTACCCAGTGAGATAACAGTGGGGAATAAAAATATTTTTACCTTGAAAAACTGGAGATGAATAAATTTCCTAACTTGTTTTGTTAAAAACTCAGCATCGATTTTTTGAGAAACGGAAGTGTTGACAATCGCTTTCTAAATAATTATAGTTTTTAAATTTCTAATGTTAGAGGTCGTTTATTCTTGCCGGAATGTTCTAACACAAGCATAGTATGTTCATTAGTGGCTGAATTTGATGGAAAAATTTGTCTAAAATTATCTTTTAGACAGCGAGATAGGAGACGCAGGTTACCTAGGGGTACAGGGATCCGAACCCCTGAATTTTTAAAATTTTAATTGTTCATGGTTTGTGCACGTCTACACCGTATATGGTACGGCGTGGTCAAGCGGCAGGGCGCACGGCTGTAAACCCAACATTCTCGTGTTCGGATCCTTATCTCGAGTCTGTAGGACTTCCCTGCATACATCAACTTCAGCTTCTGAAGTGTAACAATGTTACATACATCAACTTCAGCTTCTGAAGTGTAACAATATTACATAAGTCAACTTCCGAAGCTGTAATGTTATTTTATACATCTTCCATCGATTTTTGTAGGCGTCAGCTACTGCTTGTAGAAGGCCCGGCACGTATTCTAGACTTGGTATGACTCACGCAGGAAAAAAAAACTTAATTTTAAAAAAAATCATCATGGTGAATGGCGTCAATGTTTGGCATGCGAGTTCAACTGACAGATCGACAAAGGCAGAACATGACACACGTCAGAATGACAAAAAACAAATGACATGTCACGACAGCAAGAAGAACTGACATCTGAATCTAAAGACACCGACACAACGATCGAGTTGTCGACTGCTGTTGAATAAACCCAGTTAAAATTACACGACAGTTTCAGGAGCAGAGCTTATGTAGCAGTCAGATGACTGAGCTTATTGCTAAAGTAGTTTCATAATCCAGAGCTTTTTTGTAAAATATTTAAACAGTTAAATTTTGCTGAGATTATACATAAAACAGATGATTCAGAGCTTATTTGTAAGACAATTAAACAGTCAAATTACTCTGAGCTTATTCCTAAAACAGTCCAATGAGAGCTTATTTGTAAACTATTTAAACAGTCAAATTTTGCTGAGCTTATTCCTAAAAGTGTCAAATGATTCGGAGCCTATTTGTTAGAGAGCACAATCAAATTACTCAGAGCTTATTCATATAGCTGTCCCATTAACAACATTGTTTTTTAATTTCCTCTCCTGTCTGTCAATGTTTCCTCGCCTGTCCATCATGAATGGAAATTTGCAAATGAAGTTTCAATCACTCCAACTTATCTGATTTATTTCACACTTAATTTAATTCTTTTGTATTTAACTACACATGTATTTTTTTTACTTCTACAAGTTATAAAACATCTCATATAGAACCAAATTCTATTGACATTTAAATGCATGCGTTACTAGTGCAGTTTTTACAGTACGATTTCTTAGTTAAGTTTGTAGATGGGACGGTGTGGTCGGGTTGGAGAGCTTACGGGCCTCCCAATGTGAGGGTCTGCAGTTCGAACCATCCAGCTCTGATGTGTACCTGTCTCACGGTAGGGAGGGTACATGGGACTGGGTATATGCGTCATGTATTTCCTATCAGATATTGAGATCAGAGAAACAGGTGAACTCTACTTTATTAGCCAAATGGACTGCAAGGTTCGAAATTTCTTATTGAATGTCTGACTATTCTCAGAGTTTCAGTGTGAGACGGATTCGTTCCTTGGTCAGTTTCACGCGGAGTTCTTGCCTCATGCTCGAAAATCGTTTAGCCTATATATTTTATCCCGAGTCCATTAAAGTTGAATTACAAAACACGTGAGTTTCATGCCCTTCGAACCCCAAATTCCATCGCAAAGTTCGATAAATTATCTGTTGTTTGCCTTCGACCAAAATTTCCATCCCACCGTTTGTTAATTCATATAGTGTTTGCGTGTAACAAAAAACCAATCGATGATTGGTCTTCGATCGCCTGTCTACTCCTGACCCACTTCACGATCGCATCACCTAACAATGACGTCAGAACAAAAGCACTCACTGACTGGTTGTCGCGAAGTTCCGCTCAACGGAAGTAGGAGAGGATTACGTCACTAAAGACGCTACAGTGGTGGCTCTCAAATGTACATGACATGGACTCATATTTTTGTTGTTTTTTTTCATTTAGCATTAAAACATGGGGAAGGGGGTGAATTCAGGTCATATATTAAATTTATCACTAAACCTAAAAGTCTCTTTTTAACCCTGTTTAATCAATGAATTAAACAATGAATAATGAGATATTGATAAAAACATAGTACAGTATTTACAGCGTATTTTTAAACGCTCTATTAATGATTGCATTTTTTTTTAAATAAAGAGCAACAGTTACGTTTTAAAATACAAAACAACTGTGTAGTACGCTACATGTTCTAAAAGATTTATTATTGGAAAACACTCGTATTTTGCAACAAGCCCACGGTCTTCAAGACTTTGTGAACCTTTGTATCGCTTGATCAATCAAATCCTCCATTAAAATATCGTCTTTCTCGTTTTGTGTTTCATACTTTGTTCGTGATGGCCCAGTTTTTTATTCTTTGATGTTTAAACACCGCTTTAGGTTAAAGGTGATGTTTAAACACCGCTTTAGGTTAAAGGTGATGTTTAAACACCGCTTTAGGTTAAAGGTGATGTTTAAACACCGCTTTAGGTTAAAGGTGATGTTTAAACACCGCTTTAGGTTAAAGGTGATGTTTAAACACCGCTTTAGGTTAAAGGTGATGTTTAAACACCGCTTTAGGTTAAAGGTGATGTTTAAACACCGCTTTAGGTTAAAGGTGATGTTTAAACACCGCTTTAGGTTAAAGGTGATGTTTAAACACCGCTTTAGGTTAAAGGTGATGTTTAAACATCACTTTAGATTAAAGGTGATGTATGGCCATCACTTTAGATTAAAGATGATGTATGACCATCACTTTAGATTAAAGATGATGTATGACCATCACTTTAGATTAAAGATGATGTATGACCATCACTTTAGATTAAAGATGATGTATGACCATCACTTTAGATTAAAGATGATGTATGACATTGTATGAACATCACATTAGATTAAAGCTGATGTTCTAACATCTCTGTAGAACAAAGGTGTTGTATGACCATCACTCTAGTGTCTTTAATCCAGATGATAGCCTGTCACAGTTAAACAATGCTTTTATTTATAATTTATTGATATTTAAATCTTGTATATCCTCAACTTTATAATTCACTTTGTGTATCAATATATATCAATATATATATATATATATATATATATATATATATATATATATATATATATATATATATATATATATATATATATATATATATATATATATATACCTAATATCTCTAACCATTGTTCGTTGACCTGTATTTCCAGGAGCTGATGGCTACGGCGTGAAGGATATCGTCTGTGACCTATATTTCGAAGGCAAGAAGCCATGTTTTGGCGGCGTCATGGCGGTGGAGGGGGGCGGGGGGAAGGAGCTATGGCGGCGCTACACGGTGCATGAAATTTACGGGCTCAACTGTCAATACGACATCAACAAGGACGGGGTCAAGGACTGCCTGTCGTCTGGGAGGGCCGGGGTGAGTAGAGTTGACAGAGAGTGCTAGATGTTCAAACATGCTAGTATCCAAATCTGGTAGTCTAATACCATGTGTAACACGCTGGTGTTTAAATATTTAAGCGAACTACCATTTAGATTTATTAAGCATTGGTACTATACCTAATTGGTGGATGGTGTGATCGTATGGTAGAGTTCTATAGCTGTGTTGTCATAAAACCCCCTGTCCGCTGTTTGTGTAGACAAAAATCTCGTGAGATTTCCAGGGTCGACACAAGGATTCTAGATTACATTTTGTGGGTATTGGGTTGGGTGGAAAGGAAAGGCGAGGGGTAAGAAAATAATGCTATTTGATGTTTCCCATAATCGATGGATGTGTGTTTGTGTGTGTGGGGGAGGGGTGCGAAAAGAAGAGGGGTGTAAGTCCGAACCTCGGGTTTATGTGAGGGGGGATGAGGGTTGTATACAGGGGCGGATTAAGCTTGAGCAGGGCCCCGGGCTGAAACTTTTTGGGGGCCCTGATTTTATTTATATATATATATATAAAAAATAAATAAATAAATAAATATATATATATATATATATATATATATATATATATATATATATATATATATATATATATATATATATATATATATATATATATAAAATCAGCATAATATTCAAGTTAATAATGGGTTATTTATAACTTAGGGGAACATTCGACACCGATATTTATAAAACTGCTAATTTAAAAGGCTGTCAATTTTGTTCAATTGACGGTAAATTGGATACAAACATCCAAACTTCTTCTTCTCTTCTTCTTCGTTCTTAATTTTAGTGTTGGAAGCCAGGAATGGATCCCCTCCAACACAATTAAGTATACGTGTCAACTGGTTATGCGCCATTGAGACCATTGACTCCGATTTCAGCCTGCTTTTCTTTTTTAATTTGTTTCCATAGCCTTTGTCCAACCAAGAACAAACTACAGCAGATGTTTGATTTTGGAGTTGCCTCTCCTAGAAGAGTGGCTGTCCCCAGCTAACAAGCCTCAACTACCCGAGGGTTTGAACTCGAGACATTTCGGTTTAAGCGACTCGACCACGCCGATCCCCTAACATCTAACCAATATGTACTCATTTTTAGTATGATTATATGTTGCCCCCACCTACTACCACGATACACACACTAACAAAACACATGCGAGATCCATCCGCTACGTCAGCAGTGCTAAATATACGACTGTTTACTTTAGGCCTGTAGAAGTTTCCGACCTCTGCCCCACGATCTATCCAGGTACCTGGTGGTTGGACGATGTCCCGCGGCTGGTGGTGGGGGAAGTAAAGCCTGTATAGAGCCTACGGATGAATAAGCGACCAACATGTAGTGTTTCAAACCAACACCTTCGTGAGACTGATTCAGTCCACTTTTTGCCAGTAAGTTGGAGTTCACTACGTCGAGGCCTGCCTGTCTAATGGGAGTTAAACTCCTGAGCCGCTATATCCTTGTCACGATAGTTATTGAACTGTCATTCACGTATTTATATTAGGCTTGAGAAAGCTGCAAATGCAGACTAACATTGAACAGATATAAATATACATGAGAATATTATTATGTCGTTATAGAACAGACGATAAAGACTGTTGGCACTTGTTTGCTTGCAGACGCAAAAGATAAAAGAGAATTCCAAACCACTCTATGTAGGAAATTATTAATAACCTACAGAGGTTAAACTAGGCCCGTCTAAAAACAGTAAGCACGACATGAGCGTAAAAAAAAAACCATCCATCCTCTTAGGTGTCATCCATTTATGAGGCCCACAAAAAGTTGGATTTCCACAGGCGTCCACTTAAAGAACGCCATCCCTGGCCTGTACACCCGATATTAACGTTCACTAAAAGTAAAAGCCTATAACTGTTTTTAAAAGTTTAAATCATAGAGTGTTCACACCAGATTCATGTCATTTATTTGTCAGAATTCGACCGCTGTTTGTGTTTTTAACTCTAAAATTAACCCAATTTATTGTCATAAGCGAACGCTGTCCGGGCTGATATTTATACTAAAGTGTGTGCTCGAGTTTGATATTTTGAACAAAAATTAAAATAAACTTGTGATTCAAATATTAAAACATTGGCTTTTATAGTAAAAAAAACTCCAAAAATTTCACTTTAAAGGGAAATTTACTGTGATTGAAAAAGGAAATTTTAGGGCCCCTAAAAATCGGGGGCCCCTGGCTGCAGCCCCATCAGCACCCCCCTTAATCCGCCACTGGTTGTATATGATTTACTTCATAATAAAGAAGCCCGTCACTGAGATCGCTCTGGGGTGACCACATCTGTTTCTTTCAGACATTATTCTCCGGGGTGGGGTGGGGGTAGGGGCTTAACATTTCGAGGGGGAGGGGTTGGACACTGGTTGAAGTATATATTTTGTGTATAAATTATATTTTGTTCTGGGGAGGGGGGGGGTCTCTGTTGACCACGAGGCGTCATCATCAATATTTCTCAGAAGGGCAGATGACACCCCCACACCCCCACTTCCGTACGACGATATAAGAACTAACTAGCACAGCAGCCAACTAAAAACTCAGTCAAAACAACAAAAAGATAACTCAGTTTGATTAGGATAATTCATCTAGTTGTAAGCCTACAAGTTGTAAGACAACACCCTGATGTAAAGGCTTTAGTTTTTCGGTGGTCTTAAGGTCTACACGTCCAGTGTATTCTCAGAGAACGTGACGTCTATTTCTGACCTCGTTGCGCAATTTTTAAACTAGATTATTTACCAAAATAACCAAGCCTTTTACCATTTTGGTTTAGCTAAATCAAGTAATTTAATTAGCTAATTCAATTCCAATTATCTAATAGAAAAAAAGTATTTTTCAGCAATTTTTTTTTTTTTAAATAGTAAAAAATACAATTTAATTATTTTTTTTTTAAATTCCTAAATGGAAAACTACGTAAGAAAGAAAAAAAAATTCATTTTGTCAACTACAAAGAGTTTCTGCCAACCATAAATTACCTTCTAATGTTAAAGTTATCTCCCCTAGGTAAACCGGAATATGAATGGCTTTTTATGGCTTTAAAAAAAACTCAAAACGTTTTAAATCTTAAATGCCAGCGGTTTTTAATTTGCTGATTTTAAAAATGTGAGTGTGGAGGTGTGTGGTGAAATGTTACATTTTCTTGTGACTATCTTGTTTCTATTCGCTTGCGTGTTTGAAAGAATTAAACCCATTTTTCTGATTTGCTTTTGGATTATTCTGGAGTTTAGTTCAGTGACCTCTACTTCCTGTCCTTTCATCCTGCCGCTTCAAATGTTAGAACACAATAATCTCCGTCTAGTACAGAGGCGTAGCAGGGGGGGGGGTAGGGTACATATGTCCCCGGGCGTCGACCCTAGGGGCGCCAAAATGGGTTGGGGAAAAAATTTAAAGCTCATTTCAGCTGCAGTTTTGAATGATAAACATAAAATATATATCGCGGGGGGGGGGGGGGGGGGGGGGGGGGGGGGGGGCAAAATTGAAAGTTTGTCTCTGGGCGCCGATAGGGGTCGCTACGCCTCTGGTCTAGTTTAGCATTTCTGAAGACCTTGACGAATGGCATTTCTTCAAACTATAAACTTTAAACTTCTTTCATTTAAAAAAAAAACAACAACTCGTTTACAGTAGCGTACGCAGGGGGGGAGCAGGGGGAGCGGCCGCTCCCCCTCTGGCCATTTTCAGCAAAGTGGCGCCTTTTTGTAAACTGTTTAAACTCAAAGTTTTAAACAATGATTTTTGTTAAAAAATTATTTTTAGTCGGCACATCTATGTAAATCACAAGATTTCTTTTCATGCAGCAATTAAGCAGAATTGTACTTGTCTAGTAGCGTCTACGTTTACAACACGTATTAACAGCTGTATCAAGTTTGTCATTCTAAAAATAACCATTACGATGCATTGCAATTTTAAAAAACCTCTACGGGTAGTACCA